ATAATCATTTAGATCCTCAGCTTATTCCCCCCAAATCAGCTAATACCCAGGATTCCCTAAGAACTCACAATCCCAGTTCAGACCATCTAGCTCCATTGCATTCATAAAAGAGGAGCTAGAAACCACTAAGATAGAAGGGAATTTAAATGTCAGTGGGCAGTAAACTTACCCCTACAAAGGCTCTTCTCAAAGGGTTGAACATGAGAGAGGGCTATGAGTTGGGGAAGGGGGGACTGTGTGCGAAATATTCCCCACCAATGCCTTTCGTGTCCTTGAAGAGGATTCGGGTAGCCAATGGGGTGAAAGGATGGGAATAGTCAATAAGAAGAGGAGAACAAGAGTTAGGAACAGTGGTGAGTTGGACGGCAGGTGGAAAAAGAGTGGAGAAAGCGGTGGAAAAAAACTTCAGTTCTCAGTAAGTACACAGCCTTCTACCTGTCTGCCCACATGAGACCCCTGCAAGTCACCCTTGATTCCTCTAACCCTTAGTATCACATCCAGACATCAAGTCCTGTCACTTTTACTTCCTAAAGGTCATTTACATCCATCCACTTTCTCCATTCTCACTGACACTGCCCTGGTTCAGGTCACAGCATCTCTTGCCCAAATCTCAAAACAAAATCTCCAAATGGTCTCTGTTTCAACATTTACCTGCCCCAGGTCTCTTCCACCTAATAATCAGATTGAACTTCAAAAATCTGACAGTGTCACACTTCTGTTCAAAGCTTCCCAGTGGCTTCTTCTGCCCTAGATAGATGCTGGCGTACTGTTTCCTCTCTCCTGCACCAATTCTCCCCCCAGATAATTCTGACTCATCCCCTGAGGGATGATCACTTCTTTTGAAAGCCTCCTCCTCCTCCCTCAGCCTGCATTGGGGCTCTCTTTCCTGTCTTCACAGCTCCCTCTGTTACCTCTACCCTCACTCTTTACACTGCCTTAATTTCCCTATCTCCCACACTAGATGAAAGATTCCTGAGACAGGGACTCTATCATTACACTGCTATATCTCTAATGCTTTACACAGTGCCTAGCACTGTGAGAGATAGAACTGGGAATAATAGGCTCAACGAGGCCTTGGAGGATGGAAAGAAGGAAAAATAGAAAATAAAAGCTAACCAAAAATTGGGAAAGAAAGCTTTTAGGTGAGTGGTAGATAATATTAAAACTATATTCAGGGCAAACAACAGGAAAGGGAAGAAGGAATCTGTAGATTATGGAGAATTAGAATTAACCAATGATGAAAAGAGCTTAAAAATCCTGAAAAGAAGGATGGTCAGTGGAGAAAAGGGTGGGATAGCCAATGGGAGAGAAGAAGAGAGAGCCAATGGGGAGGGCTATGAGCAACCACTAACTTAGAGGTGAAGAACAATCATTACACATAGGGCTTGAAAAGCCCAGTGAAAGGACAGGAGGGCCAGTAAGTCTCTAATTATGGGCCATGACTCGGAACCCTGAGCCCCCTTCTTTCCTTCCTCAGGTATCCCCACTCTTCGGCACCATCTACGATGCGGTCTTCTTGTTGGCGGGGGGCGTGGCGAGAGCTCGGGCTGCTGTAGGTGGCAGTTGGGTGTCTGGAGCAGCAGTGACCAGCCACCTCCAGGATGCCCGGGTCCCTGGCTTCTGCCAGGCCCTGGGAGGAGCCGAGGAGGCCCCGTTTGTGCTGCTAGACACAGATGAGGCGGGGGACCGGCTGTTCGCCACATACATGCTGGACCCCACACAGGGTTCCCTCCGCTCCGCTGGGATCCCGGTGCATTTCCCTAGAGGGGGACAGGGGCCTGGGCCTGACCCTTCTTGCTGGTTCGACCCAGACATCATCTGCAACGGAGGTGAGGGCAAACACCCTAGCCCCCACTGGGACAGTCACCATGGACCCTCCACAAAGTGGTGAAAGAGAATGAACTTTCTTTCTGTAACTCCTCTTGGAGGTGCTTTCAGCTCCTCCTTAGACGCCAAACTTACGCAGGAGCCCTCTCTTGCTGAGCCCCCAATGCCCTCTTGAAACCTTTCTAGCATTCCCAGATGCTCCCCTTTGCAGAACCCATGACCTTTTTCTAGTTCCCTTTCTCTGCTCCCATCCCCTTTTCCTGGAGCCTCCAGGATTTGACATGACTGCATACCTCCTTAGAGAGGGTGCCTCCCCTCCACCACAGTCCTCAGGGTCACTCTCCTCACTGCCCCTCTAGGAGTGGAGCCTGGCCTCATCTTTATCAGCTTCCTCCTGGTGGTTGGGATGGGGCTGACAGGGGCCTTCCTGGCCCATTATGTGAGGTGAGTAGGGAAGTAAGGTAAGTCAATGAGCTTGGCTCTCTACTTCCCAGAAATGCTACTGTGCAGCAAAAACAGCAGACTGGATCCACTCAAGATAGAAGGGAGAATTTTTTTTGGAAGGGGTTAAAGAAAGGGGTCCTGGAGTGCTGGCAGAGTCCCAGAGGATGTCTGGTTTGGGATGGCTGCCCTCCCCTGAGCCAACATAATCCCCTGGGGCCTCCTCTCATGACCTTGATCCTCTTTGTGGAAATAACCTCTTTCTCCTACCAGGCAACGGCTACTTCACATCCAAATGGTCTCAGGCCCCAACAAGATCATCCTGACTTTGGATGACATCACCTTCCTCCACCCACAAGGGAGCACTTCTCGAAAGGTGGGAGAGACAGGGAGCCAGGATCCAGCTGTTCTCCCCTATATATCTGGTCTCCTGCCTGGGTCAGCTCTCACCCCAGCCCCTCCTGAAGGCGGTCTGGTTTCTGCCCTACCCCTGTCCCACGTCTGTGGTCTGGAGATCAGCACCCTCATGTGTACAATGAGGATAACAGCCCCTGTCCCGACTGCTTTTCTGGGGCAGCGTGAGGCTCCAACAAGAAAATGAGTAGGTTTGTTTTTTAAACTGCAAAGTGCTGTGCATTTGGAAAGTAATGTCATTATCACCTTCTTAATTAAGATTTCTTCCCCTCCCCTCTTTAATCCCTAGAACTCTGCCTGACCTCAACCCAAGACAGTATATTTTGACCCCTTGCATTGACCTCTACCCTCCAGGTGGCCCAGGGTAGTGGGTCGAGTCTGGCTGCCCGCAGTATGTCAGACATTCGCAGTGTCCCCAGCCAGCCCCCGGATAGCTCCAACATTGGCCTCTATGAGGTGAGCCTGACTCTCAACTAGGCTGAGCTTTATTTCTGGAGTCATGTCATATCCTGCTGGCTCCAGGAAATGGGTATCGGAGTCTAGAACAGGATATAGGGAGAGCTCATGGATTTCTCAAAGGGGAGCATCTGGCAATCCTTCCTGCCCCAAGAGTTTCCCTTAGCCATTATTCAGGTGAGGGCTCCTCAAAGGCTAACCACAGTGGCCCAGAGGCTGGAGGCCTGACTGGTGGGGACTGTGCTAGAACCAGCATGCAGCCTGGTCTGGCTAATGAAACCATTCCCCACCCTGTTGGGAGCCCCTGGCCCTGCCCCCTCAGTGATAAGCCTTCAGATTACAGAAGGGCACAGGCCTCCCTGGAAAGGTTGGGAAGCGGGACATCTGGGATGTGGCCTCCTGGTCCCAAAAAAGACATTTCCGGGACATGGATTGTTCAGGATGGGGAGTTTCCAGATGGGGCTATACCTGACTCAAGCCAAACTCATGTCTTGGCCCCACCCAGCATTTCCACCCAATTCCAACTAGACTCAGGAACAGCAAGACTTTGAGGGGAAAAAGAAAGTCGTAAAAAGGCATGAGAACATTAACTCTGGGGTCAGCTTATCTGAATGTGGTGGCATTGGTGGGAGATAATGAGAACAAATGCAGGGACAGCTGAGAGAGAGAGCTCAGCTAATCAAGAGGGGAGGGGAGATTTAGAGCTCCTGATTGTCAGCTCACAGAAAGAAGGCAGACACTCTTAGTATGTCACCTAAAGGTCATTATAGCCATTTCTGAGGAGCACTGTTGTCATTTTGGGAAGGTTGTTCTTCCCTATGGGATTACCCTGTGCCTTAAAGAATGTTTAGTGTCTCCTATCTCTGGCTCTGTTTACTAAACATAGCCCTCAGTTTTTGTGACAAATAAAAATGTCTCCACATTTATTTCCAAATGCCTTTTAGGGGTCAGTATCAAACCCCCCAAATTCTCTTCTCGTCCAAATCCATTATCAATAGACAAAGCCAGCTACAAGGTCTAGGGCAGAATAAAAATGAAGGGCCCTTGTTCATTCAAGGTGACAACAGCTGAATCAAGCTCAGGCCCTTCTGAGCATGGGGCCCTGTGTGACGCACAGATTGCATGCCCATGAGCCAGCCCTGCCAACAGCTGAGGACAATGAAGCCCATAGCCTGGAGGGGAGCTGCCTTGACTTCACAATTAGTCTATAATAAAGCCTAATCTACCCAGATTCCTGACTCTCAGCACAGTGTTCCCTCAGTGCAACAGATTGTGATGAGGGCTGTGATTTCAATAATTGTGGTAGTAATGGCTCGCTTAATAGGGTTGTTGGTGAGGACAGCCATTCAGTCCTTCTGCATCTCTTACCCAAGGGCGGGCTCTACCCAGCTAGCTTTGAAGTGGACTGGTAGTCATCAAACCCATGGCTCCTAATGCTCTTTGTCACATGGAAGCTATGTTCTGGGGCAATGGACCAGTGGAAATGGGGACTCTAGGGCTCTTCACATTATGGGATTTTAAAAACTGAGTTCACTGCTCCCATCTCTGCTCCAGGGAGACTGGGTTTGGCTGAAGAAATTCCCAGGGGATCAGCACATAGCTATCCGCCCAGCAACCAAGACAACTTTCTCCAAGGTGAGAGTTGGGCCCATGATGGGGTGTGGAGTGGCTGTCATTTCTCCCTCCTTGCCTTCTCTTTTCAGCTAGGTACAGAGGTAGGTCCCAATGTGGGAGAGATCAAGAGGTTTCAGTGAAGTGTCCCCTCCTCTCTAATGCAGGTTCCCATTATGCTCTCTCATAATATTAGTTCTTTCCTTTGATGTGCTTGCCATAATTTGCAATTGTATGTTCATCTGTGTGCTTCCCTCACTAGACTGTAAGTTGAGTGAGGGCTTCCCCCTGCCCCATNTATATATATATTTATATATTTATATATTTATATATATATATATATATATATATATATATAGTCAGAAATGGGATTGAGAGAACTCCCGCCCCAGGACTGATCACCCACAGGTGTTCATGGGCACATACTGTTGCTTTCCATGCTCAGCAGGGTAGTGTGGCAGCAGCCTGAAAAGGGGACCTGCAGCTGCTTTTATGATGGGGGTTGTGGGTATGCGGCAAGGCACGGGAGGGAAAGAACCTAGTTGACTGCCTGAAAGTCAGGACAAATCTCAAGGGTGTCCCATCCTTCTCCAGCCCCTCCCTGCTTGATTAAGGGGCCCTAATCAGCTTGGGGAGATTAAGGGCTCTGGCCAGCTGTTCCCACACCCCAGCCCTGGGCCCCGCTGCAAAGCAGACCTGTGGGAGGGCGTGTGATTCCCTCGCCCCGGCCTTGGGCCTGAGCCTCGGACTTTCCCATGAGTGGCAAATTCCCCGCCGCATGGATTCGAGTCCCTTCTGCCTGGGACACTTCTAAGGAGGAGGTGGACATGTCTTCACTGACTCCCACTGACAGCTCTGACGAGGGGGGCAGACAACGGGATAACAGAAAGGGGTGGGAGGATGCGGTGGGCTTCCAGGCCATGCCTGCCCTTGACACCCCCCCTCACCCCCCCTACCCCCGCCCAGTCGTTCAAGCCTGAGGAGAGGGGTGTGGAAGTGGAGATACGCCATGGGTTAACTGGGCTTTGAGAAACTCGGGAGTTGGGGAGAGAGCCCTAGAAGAGTTCTGGGGTGTGGGGGAGGTTCATCTGCTCTCCCTGCTCTGTTTATGCTCACAGAAGCCGAAATGACCTTCTATACCCTACTCGCTGGGGGCCTTCCGGACCTCCGGCTCTGCGCCCCAGAGCCGTGGGCTCCATCCCTGCTCGGCCTGCCCTGGGCGCTGCCCTGGCCCCATCCTAGGCTCCAGTTGCTGCTGCTGCTGTTGCTGCTCTTGCTCCTGCCGCCTTCCGCCCTCTCCACGGTATTCACAGTGGGGGTGCTGGGCCCCTGGACCTGCGACCCCATCTTCGCCCGTGCCCGCCCGGACCTGGCCGCCCGGATGGCCGCCGCCCGCCTGAACCACGACCCAGCCATGGAAGGTGGCCCCCGCTTCGAGGTCGCGCTGCTGCCGGAGCCTTGCGGGACGCCCGGCTCGCTGAAGGCGGTGTCCTCCGCGGTGGCCCGCGTCTCGGGTCTCGTGGGTCCAGTGAACCCTGCAGCCTGCCGGCCCGCGGAGCTACTAGCTCAAGAGGCGGGGGTCGCGCTGGTGCCCTGGGGCTGCCCGGGGACGCGGGTGGAGGGCACGACGGCCCCCGCCGTGACTCCCTCAGCTGATGCCCTCTACGCCCTCCTTCGCGCGTTCCGTTGGGCACGCGTGGCCCTGGTCACCGCCCCCCAGGATCTTTGGGTAGAGGCGGGACGCTCACTAGCCACGGCACTCAGGGCCCGTGGTCTGCCTGTTGCCCTGGTGACCGCCATGGAACCTTCTGACCTGTCTGGAGCCCGGGAGGCCCTGAGAAGGGTCCAGGACGGGCCCAGAGTCAGAGGTAGGCTCCCCGCAGGGGGCCGGGAGGTCGGTAGTCGGACCGGCAGCGGGCATAGCAGCAAGCGGAGTCTCTGTGTCCCCAGCAGTGATCATGGTGATGCACTCTGTGCTGCTGGGCGGCGAGGAGCAGCGCTGCCTACTGGAGGCTGCAGAGGAGCTGGGCCTGGCAGATGGTTCCCTGGTCTTCCTGCCTTTTGACACACTCCACTACGCCTTGTCCCCAGGCCCAGAGGCCTTGGCCTTGCTGGCCAACAACTCACAGCTTCGGAGGGCCCACGATGCGGTGCTCACCCTCACGCGCCACTGTCCCTCTGGAGGCAGCGTGCTGGACAGCCTGCGCAGAGCCCAAGAACACCAGGAGCTGCCCCCTGACCTTAATCTGCAGCAGGTAGGGGAACCAGCGTGGAGAGAAGTGGGGAGGAAACCCGTAAAAAAAGCAGATAGCCAAAGAGGGGAGAGAAGGCTGGAAGCAACGGGAAGAGAAGCCGATAGAATCAATGAAATGAGAGGATGGAGTCAATGGGAGAGAGGAGAAGGACACCAATAGGGAGAGAATAACTAGTAGCTCTACCTGTTCTGGAGTATCCTGGGTAATGTAGAGGCTCCGGTCTTGCCTGGGGCACTTAGTATATTGGGATTGCTTTCAGAGAGACTGCAATGAGACCTCTCAAGCCCAGCTCTAAGGAGTAAACTCTAATGAACTCTACACTACAACATCTTTTGTAGTCTACTTAAAAGTAAACTCACTTCCAGCACCACCACAGCATGCAGTCTATAATAAACAGCTGGTGTTCTTAAGAGAGCAGGAAGCAGGGAGGATGCCCATCCAACCACCATCCCCAGTTCAGAGGTGTTCCCACTGCAACTTCATCTGCTGGTCTTAACTTTTTGAGAGCCTTGGCATCTTGTGAGAAGCAGAAAGGCCCCTAGGTGGATCCAGGGGCTTTCATAATCATTTAGATCCTCAGCTTATTCCCCCCAAATCAGCTAATACCCAGGATTCCCTAAGAACTCACAATCCCAGTTCAGACCATCTAGCTCCATTGCATTCATAAAAGAGGAGCTAGAAACTACTAAGATAGAAGGGAATTTAAATGTCAGTGGGCAGTAAACTTACCCCTACAAAGGCTCTTCTCAAAGGGTTGAACATGAGAGAGGGCTATGAGTTGGGGAAGGGGGGACTGTGTGCGAAATATTCCCCACCAATGCCTTTCGTGTCCTTGAAGAGGATTCGGGTAGCCAATGGGGTGAAAGGATGGGAATAGTCAATAAGAAGAGGAGAACAAGAGTTAGGAACAGTGGTGAGTTGGACGGCAGGTGGAAAAAGAGTGGAGAAAGCGGTGGAAAAAAACTTCAGTTCTCAGTAAGTACACAGCCTTCTACCTGTCTGCCCACATGAGACCCCTGCAAGTCACCCTTGATTCCTCTAACCCTTAGTATCACATCCAGACATCAAGTCCTGTCACTTTTACTTCCTAAAGGTCATTTACATCCATCCACTTTCTCCATTCTCACTGACACTGCCCTGGTTCAGGTCACAGCATCTCTTGCCCAAATCTCAAAACAAAATCTCCAAATGGTCTCTGTTTCAACATTTACCTGCCCCAGGTCTCTTCCACCTAATAATCAGATTGAACTTCAAAAATCTGACAGTGTCACACTTCTGTTCAAAGCTTCCCAGTGGCTTCTTCTGCCCTAGATAGATGCTGGCGTACTGTTTCCTCTCTCCTGCACCAATTCTCCCCCCAGATAATTCTGACTCATCCCCTGAGGGATGATCACTTCTTTTGAAAGCCTCCTCCTCCTCCCTCAGCCTGCATTGGGGCTCTCTTTCCTGTCTTCACAGCTCCCTCTGTTACCTCTACCCTCACTCTTTACACTGCCTTAATTTCCCTATCTCCCACACTAGATGAAAGATCCCTGAGACAGGGACTCTATCATTACACTGCTATATCTCTAATGCTTTACACAGTGCCTAGCACTGTGAGAGATAGAACTGGGAATAATAGGCTCAACGAGGCCTTGGAGGATGGAAAGAAGGAAAAATAGAAAATAAAAGCTAACCAAAAATTGGGAAAGAAAGCTTTTAGGTGAGTGGTAGATAATATTAAAACTATATTCAGGGCAAACAACAGGAAAGGGAAGAAGGAATCTGTAGATTATGGAGAATTAGAATTAACCAATGATGAAAAGAGCTTAAAAATCCTGAAAAGAAGGATGGTCAGTGGAGAAAAGGGTGGGATAGCCAATGGGAGAGAAGAAGAGAGAGCCAATGGGGAGGGCTATGAGCAACCACTAACTTAGAGGTGAAGAACAATCATTACACATAGGGCTTGAAAAGCCCAGTGAAAGGACAGGAGGGCCAGTAAGTCTCTAATTATGGGCCATGACTCGGAACCCTGAGCCCCCTTCTTTCCTTCCTCAGGTATCCCCACTCTTCGGCACCATCTACGATGCGGTCTTCTTGTTGGCGGGGGGCGTGGCGAGAGCTCGGGCTGCTGTAGGTGGCAGCTGGGTGTCTGGAGCAGCAGTGACCAGCCACCTCCAGGATGCCCGGGTCCCTGGCTTCTGCCAGGCCCTGGGAGGAGCCGAGGAGGCCCCGTTTGTGCTGCTAGACACAGATGAGGCGGGGGACCGGCTGTTCGCCACATACATGCTGGACCCCACACAGGGTTCCCTCCGCTCCGCTGGGACCCCGGTGCATTTCCCTAGAGGGGGACAGGGGCCTGGGCCTGACCCTTCTTGTTGGTTCGACCCAGACATCATCTGCAACGGAGGTGAGGGCAAACACCCTAGCCCCCACTGGGACAGTCACCATGGACCCTCCACAAAGTGGTGAAAGAGAATGAACTTTCTTTCTGTAACTCCTCTTGGAGGTGCTTTCAGCGCC